CATTACTGGTGTCAGGGTCTACAGAGAGGAAGAGAAGGCTGGGAGCCAGTTTGGAGCAAACTTCGAGGAGGGATCAGCCTTGCTCTGTTTGGCCCCAGAGGGCAGAACTGGGCCACAGAAGGGGGGCGGGGAGTTGGAAAGCCATTCAGGCTCAGTGTTAGGAAAAGCCTAGTCCCTGCGAGAGACAAGTCCAGGTGGAGCGGCCTGCCTCAGGAGACCCAGAGCTTCTACTCCCAGGAGGCCTGCCAGCAAAGCTTGCCAGCTGTGTCGTTATTGGGTAGATGAGGGTCTGGCTCCCTACTCACTTGTGTGAGTACCTGGTAAGTAGTTGGCCTCGTCTGGGCCTCTGTTTCCTCCTCTGTAAAGAGATGATGGCCTCGGAGGTCCCTAAATCTCGTCCTATGACTCGTCCCCACCTCTCTCATGGGCTGGGGGCCCTCTCTAAGATGCTATGGTTCTGAGGTGGGTCCTTCGCTGCTGTGCTGATGGACCTCTGGCTTCTGCGCTTTCTCTGTTCTCACACCTGCCTTTTGTAGTTATCCTAGCTCTTCCTGTGGGGTCCCGCGGTCACTTCTTGATGCTCTCAGTGACCTGGGATCATCGTTGTCTGGCTTCCCCTTGAAATGGCCACCTGTTCTCCAGACTTGAGCCATGTTGTCCACCCTGAACACAACAGCTCGGGGAGTGGCCAGCCATCGGGCCCCTCTCCCCCACATGTCCTTCCCGAGGTTGGAGATGAGCCCCCACCCTCGCCCCCAGCCCCCAGCCAGCCCATTGGGCTCCTTAGACAGGAACCCTGCATATCCTGGTGCTTTTCTGAGTTGGGTGGATTTCACCCTTTGCTGGTGGCTACGCTAGGATCGCTTCCCTTTAACTGAGGGCCCACACCCTCAATCCCGAAGACTATTCTTCCTTTGAGATAATTTAGGATGAGAAGGACCCAGAATCAGAGCTAGTAGAGCTTAGGGGTTACGTACAGAGTCCAGTTCCCTCCTGGGAAGCAAAGCGTCTTGTCCAAGGTCATACCGGGAGGGAGCCGCAGAGCTGGGATTCGAACCGACATCCCCAAGCTCCGCCTGGGTTTCTCGTCCTGAAGACTTTGGCTAGCAATAATAACCTTGGTTGGTTCCTCCGTGCGGAGTCCAGGTTGCTCTTAAAAGGCGTTATTTCGTTCCTCAAAGCCTCCCTCATGCGAATGCTGGAGCGGAGCCAAGAGGCGCCGGAAGGAGGGCCGGGGAGCAGTGCCAGCTGCCCAGACTGCCCGTGGGCATCTCTCCTGGTCTTTCCAGCTTCTTGCCCCAGTCCTGGCCTCCCCAGGGCTGGGGGTGGCTTGGGAAATGTTCTATGAGCACAAGTTTCTGCCAGTTCCTTAGTATTTCCCAAAGCAATTACGAGGCTTTGGAAGGAAGAAATCGTTATGCATTTAGGTTGTAATTACTTCATAATCTCAAGCTGGCAAGCTTCTTTCAGGCCAGGACACGCTCACCTCTTTCTCACCAAATTACAAGCATTTTCTTACTCTGTGCCTGGCTTGGCTGCCCTGAACTTGGGCACTTCCCTGACCAAGTGAGCCCCTAAACTCCCTGGCAGCTTGCCTGAAAGTGGCCATTTGATCCAGGCTGGGCAGCAGAGAAGTGGGGCCTAGGGAAGCTTCCAGGGGTCTACCCTAGCCGGGGCTATCACCCTCTGGTCTCAGCCATCCCTGACATCTCCTTCCCTCCTGTAGCGTCTAACTCTTCAGGCTGAGCACCTGCGGGTGAGGGTGCATCTGGTGATGGGGTTACCAATGTATGCCAGGCTGTTTTTCTGCCACTTGGTGGGGTCCTGGTGCAGAGCAGGCTCCCAGGGCATGCTTAGTCAAGGAGACACTTTGGCTTCTGTGACTGGGGGTGGGGGGTCTTTCCACAAGTGTGGAGTGTGAGCAGAACTGTACATGGGAGCCCTAGTTTATTACTGATTAGCCCCTAGGCCTGTTGCATCCAATGGCCGCTCTGTCTGCCAAGCATCCTCCTTCACACCTGGTCCTCTCTGAGTTCTCTAGCCTCCTTGGGATGCCTGTCCCCTCAGCTCTCAATGTCCCCATGTGCCCTGACCATTGACTCCAGGTTTATTGCCATTGACCTCTAGATTAGGTGGCCTGCTCAGGGATGATGGCTTAATTAAAAACAAGTCACAGCTGCCACCTGGACCTTAGCTTCACACCCATAGACACCTGAGTGGGTCCCCTGGAAGTCAAACAGTGGTCGTGTTTTTAATGCAAAGAGGACTTAGTTTCAAATTCTACCTCTTTCCCTTACTACCTGTGTGACCGTAGGTAGGCTAGACACTTGAATTCCCTGGCCTCAGTTTGCTTCTTTGTAAAATGAAGGGTTGCACTAGATTCAATTCAATCAACATTTGTTAAGCACCTGCCAGGTGCCACGTATTGTGCTAAGCACTGGGCAAAAAAAAGAAAAACAATTCCTGCCTTCAAAAAGCTTACAATGTAATGGAAAGAAACACCACAAAAAAGGAAGCTGAAGTGGGGGGGGGGCACCAGGGTGTATCCACTCGGGGGCATCATATTCCCTGGAGTGGAAACCAAGCTAAGCCACTGATGGGAAATGGTGTTACCTGCAAAATTCGGATCTAAGCCTCTATAAAGGAGGGATTTGTGAATTTAGTGTTCTACCCTTCCCTGACAATTAAAGGGGAGGGTAGGAGGGTGTTAGGTATCAAAAACTGAGTTAGTCTTCAGGACACTCAGCTCTCAGGGGATCAGCTTATCTTAGAAGGGGCAGGATGTTCTGGAGGCTAAACCAAACAGAGTGACTGATGGGTAATTGGAGAGTTAGGTGGGAGTAGAAGGGTTAACTTTCCTGTGACACAGACCCCTTTGACAGTCAGCCTGGGAAGCCTTTGGACACCTTCTCAGAGTCTTGGTTTCAAATGCATAAAATAAATACAAAAGATTGCAAAGGAAACCTATTGTCGTGAAATAGTTATATGATTTTTTTTAAAAGGGCACTGACCACTAAGAATGGCAAATTGAGAGGACACCCTTCGATTAGAAAATGGCTGAACAAGTTGTGGTATATGATTGTGATGGAGTACTGTTGTACTGTAAGAAAGGACAAGGAGGGTGGTTCCAGAAACACCTGGAAAGACTTACATGAACTGATGCTGAGTAAAATGAGCAGAACCAGGAGAACAGAGTAACAGCAGCATTGTACCATGAGCAAGTGCTATTCTCAGCAATAGTGGTCCAAGAGAATTCCACTGTTTTGATTTAATTACGCAGCATGAATCAGCAATGCAATGATTTAGAAATACCAACAGTGCACACTTTGCGCACTTCAATCACTTTGGTTTTCACTAGATCCTCCTTGCTCAGTACCAATGACAGAACCATCACTGGTGCCCCTCCCCCACTAGAGCTGGCACTGGCTGCCTTGTCCTGCTGCTCTTATTACTGGCCACATTCGGCAGAGCAGCCTCAGCCTCCCGGTGAGAGAGATTCAGTGCCTGGGTTTTAACCCTGAGCAACATCGTCATCACACAGCAAGAAATTGTCTAGAGTATATGTGGTGGAGCAGAGCATTGGCATCCTTGGGTTGTATTTTAGAGTTTCTCAGTCCTTCTCGCTCTTCACCTGGTCTCCTCACATGGAGTGAATAACAAAGCAACCAGCCCTCCAAATAACACATACCTGTATGATCTAGTGGAATGAATGCCCTCCCCTCTCCTGCCCCTAACCACGCCTGGCACTCTGAAATGGACTGGGAAGGCAAGGGGAGGAAATGAGGAAGGCAGAGAGGAAGGAAGGGAGGGAGGGAGGGAGGGAGGGAAAGAAGGAAGGGAGGGAGGAAGGAAGGAGGGGGGGAGGGAGGGAGGGAAGAAGAAAGGAAAGGAGGGAGGGAGGGAAGAAGGAAGGGAGGGAGGAAGGAAGGGAGGGAGGTAGGAAGGATGAGAAGGAGGAAAGGAAGGAGGGAGTGAGGAAGAGAAGGAGGAAGGAAGGAAGGAAGGAAGGAAGGAAGGAAGGAAGGAAGAGGAAGGAGGAAGGAAGGAAGGAAGAAAAGAGGGAGGAAGCAAGAAGGGAGGAAGGGAGGAAGGAAGGAAGGAAGGAAGAGGGAGGAAGCAAGAAGGGAGGAAGGGAGGAAGGAAGGAAGGAAAAGAGGGAGGAAGCAAGAAGGGAGGAACAAAGGAAGGGTAAACTAAGGCAAACATTTTCTTGAAGGAATTTAGATCTCTCTTCCCTCTAAAGAGTAAGATGACAAGAAAGCAAAGGCTGGTTCTCAAGATTTAAATTCCCCTTTTCCCTAAAAGGAAAGAAAGCCAGAGGAAGATGATGCCTGTGAAATTAAAGAAAGGTTTTTATTAAGCAGGAAAGTAAAACATTCACATAGGGACTGCCAGCCTGTGCTGACAGCCCACCCAGTAGTGGGTGGGGAGAGTTTACATATTTTTTGAACAAAGGAAAGTAAGGAATTTGGGGGGAAAGGTGGGCTTAGAAAGGAATGAGTCAGGGGAAGGGAAGTGAGGAGTTCCAGGTGTTAAGGCTGTGGTCTACAAAACACAAATCAGGTAAGTAGTCCATAGTTCAAGGCTTGATAAGGAGATGTCTCCAAAAACAGGAGAATTCTGAGAGTCTCCTAACCAAAGTTAGGAGAGTCTCTGGAGATGAGGTTGTTTCCAAAACTCATCAAGTTCTTGAAGGTAGGGATAGCTCTTGAGGGTCCATAAACTACCAAATGGCTCAGGGTCTGCTTCAAGGCTGGTAGGAGCTGATGGCTTCAGAGTGGCTGATTTTCTGCACATGCAGCTAGGTTTCCTCTTGGTCACTTCAAAGGATTGTTGGTATGTCAGCCAATACAGCCAGTCCTTCTAGTTACCTGGACAATCAGGGAGGGGGCTCCAGCAAGTCAAGATATCCATTTTCACAGAAAGAAATGAAGGGAAGGGAAGGGAAGGAAAGGGAAGAGAAGAAAAGGAGAGACAAGAAGAGAAAACTGTCTGTTCAGATCCTTTGATGATGTATCTGCTGGACAATGATTGAGCGGAATGCTGGAGATGTTGGTGATCCTGAGTGGCAGCGGTGAGACAAAGGTGTGTATCCTATGTGTACAAACACCTGGAAAGGGCAATGCCATGGTGTGTACAAGGAGCAGCAGACAGGCCCGTGGGCGTGTGAAAGTGATGCATGTGAAATCCCCCTGGAGAGAGAGGCTGGAGTCACACTGGGTAGGACTTTAAATGTCCCGGGACAATGGGGAGCCCCAGAAGCCTCCTGAGCAGGGGAGGCATGGCTGGCATCGTTCCTGTAGCATCCTCATGTGAGAATATCCGGATCAGAGCAGGCAGTGCAGTCAGGAGCTCACACAGCAGTCCTGGTGAGAGGTCATGGGGCTGCCCCAGAGCAAGACTAGGCTGCCTGTGTGGTTGGCTTTTATCAGGAAATCTCCTGGGCTGGAAGATTTTGGTTCCTCTGATCTGCACTCACGCCCCTAGATTTCTGAACTCTGGGCAGCTGAGGAGTATTTGGTATGTGGAAGAGGGAGGGAACCACCAGCAGAGGTGGGGGAAGGGCAAAGAGGCCAAAAACCTCCTGGGGGTGAGAGCTGGCCCAGAGTGGGGAGGGCTGGGCTGACTTAGGAGGGCTGGCTCTGACCTGGGGCAGAGGCTGGTGGACCCTGGGACTGGTGCTTGTCTGGGGTCCTTCTCTTGGGCACAGGTGGGGTTAGGTGGTTGCTGAAGCCTTCCCAGGCCTGAGATTTGGATTCTGTGCTTCTGTGAGGGCCTTCAAGGGGAGACACTGGGCCAAGTTCTCCTTCCTCCCCTCTCCATTGGCCTCTGTCTCCATCCGCCCTTGCCCTCATCCTTCTCTTTGACCCTTTACTATGGCTCACACTGGCTCAGGACCTGCCTAGGGGCATGATGGAAGGCAGCAACCCTAGTAACGGGGGGGGGGGGGGAGCAGTTGGTGGGCCAAGGTTATGGCCCCAGTCCTTGTAAGCCTGAGTCCTGTCCCCTGCAGCCGGTGGCCTGGCAGATAGAATGCTGGACCTGAAGTCAGGAAGAGCTGAGTTCAAATCCAGTCTCAGACACTAATGTGTGGCCCTGTTCACCTCAGTTTCCTCATCTGTAAGCTGGAGAAGGAATGACAAATTGCTTCAATATCTCTGCAAAGGAAACCTCAAAAGGGCTCACCAAGAGTTGGACATGACTGAAAAATGACAACAACAAAAAAGAGCATCTTCTCCAAAGAGCCCTGTGCTGAAATGGACAATAGGAGGGAGGGTAATTGAACCATGAGCCCTGAGCCCCTTGCTTCTCCCACTCTGCTTTCCCCCAGATTTAATTTCCTCTCATTGACTCTGGCTCTCGGGTCAGAAACCACATGAGACATGACAGAACTCTTTTAAATGGCTCTCACTCCTGCCCCATGAAGGTCTCTGGGCAAAGCCGTGACCTTTAGCATCAGAGCCAGGTTCGGGTAGAAGATGATGCTCAGTAAAGACATTCACAGCCCTTGTTGTGAGCAGGGCAGCTGCTCCCTCCCTCCCTGACCCACCCCTTTCATAGGTCAGGATGTTTTTCTCCCAGCAGGTTTGTTGCTTCCTAACATTTACCTTGGTAGAGAGGAGGAGAGCCAATTTCTGAGAGTGACATCAAAGAAAATGGATGGAAAAGGGGCCCTGCACCTGGCATTGAGCCCAAGGAGGCCTCCCACTCACCAGAGCGACCTTGGGGGCCCTCGACATCGTAGCAAAGCCCTGGAAACAATGGCGATGCCGATCATTGGGGGATGGAGCACAAGGCTGGTCCAGACAGGGATGTGGCTGCGCTACCAGCGACCCCAGGCTGGCAAGACAGGGAGAAGCTGGTGGGCTTGATGTGTGACCAGATGGAGAGTGAAGGATGTGGGACCAGGAAGGCAAAGGAAATTCAAGGACCTTGGTGTTAGGGGGAAGTTGGCCCCCAACGGCCCAAGGGAATGCTGGGAAGTTCTGAAGTCCTAGGCTGGACTCAGAGCAGAGATATGAGAAGACCCATTGGCCATTTGCAGAGGCAGGAGGCCACTGGGTGCCGGGTGAGGGTCCTGCATCTAACTCCCAGCTTTGTTCAATCAGTTGGCCAATTTTCCTGAGGTTTTTTTTTCTGTTATTCTTCTTTTTCTTCCTTCCTTCCTCCCATCCTCCCTTCTCTCCTTCCTTCCTTCTCTCCTTCTTCCTTCCTTCTCTCCTTCTTCCTTCTTTCCTTCCTTCTTCCTTCCTTCCTTCCTTCCTTCCTTCCTTCCTTCCTTCCTTCCTTCCTTCCTTCTTTCCTTCCTTCCTTCTTTCCTTCCTTCCTTCCTTCCTTCCTTCCTTCCTTCCTCCCCCTTCTTCCTTCCTTCCTTCCTTCCTTCCTTCCTTCCTTCCTTCCTCCCTTTCTTCCTTCCTTCCTTCTTTCCTTCCTTCCTTCCTTCCTTCCTTCCTTCCTTCCTCCCTCCCTCTCTTCCTTCCTCCCTCCCTCCCTTCTTCCTTCCTTCCCTCCTTCCTTCTTTCCCTCCCTCCCTCCTTCCTTCCTTCCTTCCCTCCTTCCTTTCCCTCCCTCCCTCCTCTCCTTCCTTCCTTCCTTCCCTCCTTCCTTCCCTCCTTCCTTCCTTCCTCCCTCCCTCCCTTCCTTCCTCCCTTCCTCCCTTCTCTCCTTCTTCCTTCCTTCTCTCCTTCTTCCTTCCTTCTTTCCTTCCTTCCTGTCTTTCTAAATTATTCGTTATAAGGCATGTCTTTGGGAGGGATGATGAGGGATGTAGGCAGAAATCTAGACAACGTAAAATACAGAAATAATTTATTTTAACAAAAGAAAGGCAGTATAGTATGAAGAAAGACTATTTTAGGTTGGGTTCTGTCTTTGGGACAAGTCCCCTCCCCCCTTATGGCCTCAGTTTCCTTTTCTGTAAGATAAAGAGTTTGGACTAGTTGAGTTCTAAGGTACCTTCTTGCTGCAATATGCATTGCCTAGCCAAAAAAAAAGAAAGAAAGAAAGAAAGAGGAGGTACCACTAACCTCCATCAGTTGTTAGGTCTGTTGCATCCTCAAAGCTATTGGGGGCCAGGACTCCTGGGGCACATAGCTGTTGGTCATGGAGGAGACTGGGAGCTGAACCATATAAAAAAGACTCAGGACAGAGACTGAATGGTTGCCACCAAGCCTTGCACTATTGGAGAAAGTGTGTTAACTCTGGCACACATGTAAGTTTATAAAAAATTATGCTGATATAATGAAAACATTCATGAACCACAATCCTAAGCGTATAAAGTGAACAATTATTCAATACTTGTCCTGGGCTCCAGTGGAGTCTGTCTGTGTATGAAGCCAAATGGACTTCCAGATGAGGAGGATGAGGGAGGGAGGGGAAGAGAGAGAGAGAGAGAGAGAGAGAGAGAGAGAGAGAGAGAGAGAGAGAGAGAGAGAGAGAGAGAGAGAGAGAGAGAGAGAGAGAAGCTTTTGATCCATCTCATCCTGCAGAGAGAGGTCAGCTCCTCTCCTGCTTTGTCCTTTGGCAGAAGAAGAAAGTCCTCTCCTCTCTATGTGAATTGTTGAGAGCTCTGCCAGAGAGGGGCAGTCCCTTCCTCCCTCTGTTCACAGTCTGGGGGCGCTATTTGTTATGAATCATCTTGTTGGGAAGTGTGGAGCTGGGACAATTTGTAATACGAGATTGCCCCCAGTTCTGAGCCCTTCCCTCCAGTGAGAATGATGGAAGCCATGCCTCTTGGACATTCAGTTATACTTCAGGTCTGTTGAGTCAATCAGCAGTCATCCTCTACTCCAATGGTTTCCAATTTTCTTTTTTGTTCCTTAAATCTTTTTTTTTTTTGAGTGAGGCAATGGGGGTTAAGTGATTTGCCTAGGGTCACACAGCTAGTAAGTGTCAAGTGTCTGGGAGGCTGGATTTGAACTCAGGTCCTCCTGACTCCAAGGCCAGAGCTCTATCCACTGTGCCACCTAGCTGCCCCTTAAATCTTTTTTTTTAAAGTGGTGAAACCCTAAGGTAAGACTCATAATATTGTCATAATATTCTTTTAGATTTATTCATTAAGTCATGGCCACACCCAGCGATCAAGGTCTTTGAAGAGCCTCACATTTGTGTTTCAGGAGCAGAGACACTGGTCACATTTTGATTGTGTCATTTCCCGGCTGCTGAGGCACAATGACAACATCACAAAGGGGAGTGAGGAAGCATAGAGAACACAAAGGAGAGTGGGAGGTGCCCGACCCGATGTGGCGGTTTGGAAACAATTTGATGACAGGAGCACATCGCTCTTCATCAGAAGTGGTCAGAGTTTGGCGTGATCCCTGCATGAACTCAGCGATTGTTATGTGCATAATCACGACAGTTCTGAAATGCTGCGGAAACAAACTTTTCATGCTTCAAATGTGTGTAAGCTTGTTGTCACAGAGGAAATATATGTTTGTCACCTGATTGATATTTACTGCTTCAGCAGTCCTTAAAAAAATGTTTAGCATGAACTACTGGACTACCCTTGTGAACCTTCCTTCACAGACAGATCTGACTGGTGGGTAAACTGCCTGAGCCCCACAGGTGAACCAGGTTGGGTTCTCAGGCAGCAGACATACAGTCTGTCCCCAGCTGTATCTTGTTTGGAGCTTGAGGGGATGGAGAGGTGACCTGCCCCTCTTGCTCTTTGTCTAATGTTGAGCAGAAACACTCTGAAAATGGATGGTTATAATGTCAGTCTCACAGTGTCTCCTCTGAAAAGTGAGAGCACAGAGTCTGCTGAAGAGCATGGCTATCCCAAGGAGAATCAGAGAGTGACAGCGTAGCCAGATACCTCCCCAGATGGTAGAGCTGGGTGCCTGCCTGGGATGAACGTCCTTGTGTGTATGGCTAGCTGCCTGTCATGGCCATAAGGGCAGACAAAAGTGATTTTTGGCCGCAGCACAACTAGAACCTGCATCGTTTTTGTTGTTTAGTTAGAGGAGAAAAAACCCCAACCATCTTCCTTCTGACTGCGCTTATCAGTAAAGCCTGTCTCTGTGATCTGGACTGGAACGTCCGAGGAGTTCTGATTGTCCAGGGCACAGGCAGCAGAGCCACCTGAACAGTGTGTCTGAGCTCAGGCTTGGTCCTCAGCACACAGTCTCCATGCTCAGCAGCCTCAGGCAGGGGAGCTGTGCTCTGGGGGAAGGCTTGTCCTGGGAAGTTTTTTGTCATTTGCCTAAGGGTGACACACATTTACAGTAACCATGGGAAATGGCTTTTATTCTCAGAGTGGGCAGAGTTGCTAATAACCACCCCTAGACTGACTTCAAAGAATCTACTGTTATCTTGGAGTAGGAGGCCAAGACTTCCCACTAAGGCATCTATCTCACAAAAATACAATGGACGGAAAAAAGCCTTGAATTTACAGCCACTGGTTAGGGTCATTCTAGCAAAAAAAAAAAAAGGCAATCCCTCTGGGGAGAATTTCAGCAACACATTGCACTCAATGCAAGTATCCTTTCCAAATAATGAAAAGTAAAAACAGTTAACATTTATGTAGCACTTACTGTGTGCTGTGCTAATCACTTTACAATTATTATCTCATTTAATCCTCACAAAGACCCTGGGAGGCGGGTGTTATTATTACCCCCACTTTACAGATGTAGGAAACTGAGGTAAACAGAGGTTAAGTGACTTGTCCAGGGAAATCCCAGACACTATATAACTGAACCTTACAGATGAGGAAACTGAGGCAGAGGGCATTTAAGTGACTTGGCCAGGTTACATTGCTTAGAAGTATCTGAGGCCAGATTTGAACTCATGGCTTCCTGACCCCAAGTCCGGGCTCTCTCTCTTGCACCCCTTGAATGATGACATGGCTCAGCAGTGACACAAGGTGCTGCTAGAGGAAAAGTCCGCCTGTAACCCAGCTCAGGCCTCCTTGGCTGGGCAGGACGTGTCAGAGCTGCCTGGACCCCAGGCCACCTTCACCAGGCATGGAGAGCTGAGTAATGGATCTCCAAGGGTGAAGGCTACACCCTCGGGACGGGGGCCCCTGGAAGCCTTCAGCACAGTATGCTGGATAAACACGTGGAGTTGCTGGGGCTTGGATCCTGCAGCAAACAGAATTCCCAGTACAGGAAGACGCAGGAGAAGTCCCTGCTATTCTGGGGCCGGAAGACGCGCTGGCCCTCACCCGCTCTCCAGTGGGGGCAGTGGCCGGAATGGTAGCATCGCGGGAGGGCCGCTGGCTGCCAACCCCCTGCCCAGGGGAGGACCAGGCAGGGCCTGAAGACAGAACTGCGTCCGCTTCCCGTTTCCAAATGAACCAGCCTTGCTCCTTTGAATTGAAACGGACCATCTTCGCATTCTTAAACCTGCCCACTGACCTATTTTCAAGGACTGAGAAGTGACTGTCCGGGCTTGGTTGAGGTTCATGATTGGAACCCGGGTTTTTTTTCCAGATTCTTAGGTCTTGCAGCCAGGTCCCCGGGAGTCACACCCAGCGAAAAGGTCGGCACTTGTCTGTCCTCTCCGAGACCCCAGTCTCCTCTCTCCACTCCCCACCTGTACCAGCTCTGGGGAAGGACTAATTGATGGTCTGTCGGAGGCATTCAGTAGATCAAAGAGCAGCTGGGCCTCAGTTTCCTCCTAGGTGTCTTCCAGCTCTAACGCCCCCAATCCCCCTCATTCTTGGGCTCCTTTGATCTCCTAAGAGCTGCCCCAAAGGGCGCAGGACCAGCCTCCATTCCCTCACTTACACTCTCCGCCCTTCCCCTTCCTTTGCTCTCCATTGGCTGACAGGGTTGGGCCTTAGAGTGCAGTCCTGAGGTGTTGGGGGAAGAGGGCGCATAGCGGGGCCCATTCAACCTTCTTTGAACTATTGACAGCCCTGGCTGGGAAATACCCTTCCCCATGCACGTGCTCTTCTGCACGAGCAGTGTGCGGGGCCTGAAATGTAGGTTGCCAAATCCCTGGAGAGGCTGAAGGAGGGGGGCTGATGCCCTCATTCTGTCGAGGAAGAAGCTGCAGAGCAGAGGGGCCGGTGACTTGGGGGTGGACTCACCACCCGCCAGCAGAACCGGGGGCTGGGATGCAGGGTTCTGACTCCCAGGCCCTGGGCTTCTCCACCATGGGCCCTTCCCATGATGCCCCGCACATTCAGCCCTTTCCATTCACTTTTTTATTAGAAATTGCTCCTCAAAGTCACGACAGCAACTCCCCCAGCTGCAAAGGGTGGTTTTGTCCCATTTCGTCATTATTTTTAAAAAATTGATGCAAAATGTCATTATTGCTTTAAAGGGTTTTTAAACAGATGGTTTTGAGGAGAGAAGCAACATTTAATCTGCCAGAAAAGTAGGTGATTGTGGTACATTCTCTCAAACTGAGCCAAATGCTGGGCAGAGGGGCCGAGCCGCCGACCACACCCGTCCTCCTGCAGATGTCAGCGTGAGATCCAGAGACCAGGTTGAAGCTTCTGACATAAAATCACAGAATTTGAGGGTTGGAAGGAGCCCAGGGGACTTCTCATCAAGCAGCACACAAGAGGAATGTCCATTGTGATGTCCTTGTCTCTGCCTGAGAACCTCCAGTGATGGGGAGCTTACCACCTCCCTTGGTGGCCTGTTCCATTTGGGGACAGTTCTCCATGTTAGGAAAATTCTTCTCTCCTCAAGCCTCAGTGTGAGTCTTCGGAGCTCCTCCCATCTGTGAGTGCACTGTGTGTATGGGGGTCTACAGGACACGGGCACCTGGGGAAGGGAGGAGCATGAGAGAGGATGTCAAGGGGCTTTGAGATGAACAGAATGGCGGAAGAGGGAGCTCGTGCTCAGTGGCCTCAGTCTGTCCAGTGAGGAGGCAAGGCATGTAGGGAGGAGGTTGGCAGTGAAGAGGAAGTCTGGTGGGTTTGAGGCTGAAAGAGAAGGCTGCTGTGGGAAGTGAGATAGAGAATCAGATAGGATAGAACCAAAGCATTGCCTTGTTGCTGAGAGGGCGCACTTGAGGTTGGACAATGCGAATTCATAGTGTACCCAGGAACAGTGGATAGAGTACCAGGTCTAGAGTCAGGAAGACCTGAGTCCAAATCCAGCCTCAGGCGCTTACTTGAGGTGACTCTGGGCAAGTCACTTAATCCTGTTTGCCTCAGTTTCCACACCTGTAAAATGAGCTGGAGAAGGCAATGGCAAAGCACTCCAGCATCTGTGCCAAGAAAATCCCAAAAGGGCTCCTGAAAAGTCAGACACGACTGAAGTAACTGAATAACAACGACATTGTGTACCCAAGCACAATGGGATTGTGCAGCCTCCTCCAGCTTCATTCAGCAGGTTACGAGCAAAGGCAAATGAGCCAGGTCAGGTCAACAAGCATTTGTCAACCTACTATGTGCCAGGCACTGTGCCAAGGCAGATGGTGAGACAATCCAGGCCTGAGTCTTGGCAAGAGAAGAGCGCCAGGCAATGGGTCGGATGGGCAGAGAGAGCTGAATGGGGCAACCGCAGGGCTGAGGTTGGGGAGGAGCAGGGGCGCTGACTGGCCAGAGGGTCGAGGAGGGCAAAGACCCAGCTGGCCTAAAGCACAGGAGGAGCCACAATAGGGGGTTCGGTCAGAGACAAGAACGTCCGAACTTCTATCAGGGCAGTGGCAGGATCCAGGGGTGGCTGACTGAGGTGGGGTCTTAAAGGGGGTGGTCAGGGGACTTAGGGAGGCTGAGGAAACAGGAGATGAGGGAACACTCATGGGGATATTCACATTCCCTAGTATTTACCTCCTACCTTTGGGGAGGAGAGGGATGCCGAGCCAGGTGCAGACCTCCTGGAGAAAGGAGGGAGAGAGATCTGAGGTCTGCTAAGAAAATACAACTACTATCATTTTTCTGGGTCTCTGGGATGACTTCCTCTGCAGTATTTTAATTCCTGGAATCCTGTCTAGCTTTCCTCTGAAACCTGTGAAGTACTATTTCTAAAACTCCTGTGTGCATCTTAACTGCGTGACTCTCCAAAGAGAAAGAGGTCTAGAGTGGAGGGAATTTCTCTTCTGCCTCCCCACCTTGGCCAAGGAGCTTTGGAAGATAACTTAATGGTAGAGCATTTGTTAAGCATTACTACTTGCTAAGTGATGGGGATATAAACAGGTAATCAAGACAGACCTGCCTCCAAGAATCTCCCATTCTAGATGGGAGAGTTAACACACAAAGAGGCTTCAGTCTGATGGCAGATGGAAAGACAGATTGTACTTAGAAGGAGACACTGCATCCAGTAGGGAGCAGAGCTACAGGCTCCAAATAGACACGGACCCAGAAAGAGTTACCTGAAGGAGGAAGCAGATTCGAGGAGCATGGCCCCTGGCAGCAGAGAAAAGAGCCAGCTATGGAGAGGAGTGAACCCAGCTGAATAGCCTGTCAAACAGAGACATTGAACCCAAGGGGAGCTGTGTGAAGAGGACTCTTCCAAGAGAGAAACTCCCAAGTCCTGGAAAACCAT